GGAATGGGATCCTGCTGCTGGCTGTGGGTGTGCTGGGAACACTGGGTGAGTGGGAATGGGATTGGGATCCAGATCGGGAATGGGATTGGGATCAGGATTGGGAATGGAATTGGGATTGGGAACGGGATTGGGAATGGGAATGGGATCCTGCTGCCGGCTGTGGGTGTGCTGGGAGTGCTGGGTGAGACAGCGGGAACAACAGAAACAACGGGAAGAGGAACAAGGACAGGAATGGGAACGGGAATGGGAGCGGGGATGGGAATGGGGGAATGGAGTCAGGAATGGTAACACGAATGGGATTGGGATTGGGAACATGAATGGGAATGGGATTGCAGTCAGGACTGAGGTCAGATTTGGAGTCGGGATCGAGATTGAGATCGGGATGGAGATTGGGATTGGGATCGGGATTAGGATAGAGATCAGGATTGGGGTCGAGATTGAGATCAGGACCAGGGTCAGGATTGGGATTGGTATCGGGATCAGGGTTGGGATCGGGGTCAGGATTGGGATCTGGGTCAGGATTGGGATCAGGGGGGACTCTGACAGCACCTGGGAGACCTCGGGAATTATCCCAGGAATGGGGGATTCATCCATGGGCACAGTGGGGATCACTTGGAGGTTGGATCCCAGCAATTCCCTGGGGGATAACAGGGATGGAATTCCCAGGGATGGCAATTCCCAAGGGATTCATCCTGGACGAGTTTGGATCCCAGCCCCTCCCGGGTGATTCCCAAGGGATGGAATCCTGGGGGAGCTCTGGCAAATCCCAAACTTCTGGGAATGACCCATCCCAATTTCCCCTGGGGCGGGGCCGGCATTCCCGGCTCCCTGACTTCCCGAATTCCCGAATTCCCGGGCAGTGTTCCGGAAGGTGGATTCCATCTCCGAGGAGATCAGCTCATCCCAGACCTTGTACGAGCAGAAACTCCTCTCCCTGCAGGAGGATCTCCAGGGATTGGGTGAGGAACTCCAGGATCGGGATTTTCCAGGGATTCCTCCCTTTTCCAGTTCCTGTGGCTCCTCCCCAACCAAATCCCTGCTTTTTTTTTTTTTTTTTTTTCCCGGGATTTTGGGCAGGGATTTCCGGCAGATCCCAAGGGTGGGGTTGGTGGGATGGGGCTTTGGAGAAGCTCTCCCAGTACCCGACTCCAGGATAATGGAATTCTGGAATTCCAAAGTATTTGGGTGGGAAGAGCCCTCCTGTAGGATCAGGCTGGAATTTTCCTAGTGTCCCTTTCCAGGGTCATAAAACCCTGGAATTCCAAAGGATTCAGGTGGGAAGGGTGGTGGGATCAGAGCTGTCCCAGTGCCCATTTCCAGGGTCATGGAATCCTGGAATTCCGGAAGGATTTGAGTGGGATGGGACCTCCTGCGGGATCAGGCTGGAATTTTCCCAGTGTCCATCTCCAGCATCATGGAATCCTGGAATTCCAGAGGGATTTGGGTGGGAAGGGAGGGTGGGATCAGGCCTGTCCCAGTGCCCATCTCCGGGCTCATGAAATCCTGGAATTCCAAAGGATTTGGGCGGGAAGGGCCCTCCAGAGATTGGGATTGATGGGATGGGATAATGGGATAACGGGATGGGATAATGGGATGGGATAACGGGATAATGGGATAACGGGATGGGATAATGGGATGGGATAACGGGATAATGGGATAACGGGATAATGAGATAATGGGAAAACGGGATGGGATAATGGGATAATGAGATAATGGAATGGGATAACGGGATAATGGGATAGAATGGGATTATGGGATAACGGGATAACGGGATGGAATGGGATAACGGGATTATGGGATAACGGGATTATGGGATAACTGGATTATGGGATAACGGGATAACGCGGGATCCTCTGCCTCTCCCGGAGCAGGTGCGAGGAGCTCCGGGAACGGCTCCTCGGCGCTCCGGGACACGGCGGCGCTGGGCCGGGAGCTCTCGGAGCTGCAGCGGGAGCTGGAGCAGATCCAGGAGACGCTCCAGGCTCAGGAAATCCTCCTGGAGCGAACTTCCCGCAGCCACGCCCGCCTCTCCTCCGCCGGCTCCTCCATGTGGGGCGGCCTGCGGAGCTGCTCCGCATCCCTGGGCAATGTCAGCCGGAGCGTGGAGCAGCTGCGGGAGCGGGCGGGGCGGTGCCAGGGGGTCACGGCTCTCCTGCGCGATTCCCTGCGGGCTCTGGCCCGGCAGCGCTCGCAGGCCGGGGAGGCGGCGGAGCGCCTGAATTCCAGCGTGGAGCAGAATTCCCGGCGGCTCCGAGCGCTGCAGGGACAGGCGGGCGAGGCGGCGCTGGCGCTGCGCGGGGCGGTGACCGAGTGGCACAAAGCCACGCGGGATGCGGGGACGCTCCGCTCTGCTTCGTCCCGCGGCTCCGAGCTGCTCCGCAGCCTGCAGGCCGGGCTGGCATCGGCGCTGCGGGAAGCATCCCGGAATTCCGACGGGATGCAGGAGCTGGCGCTGCAGCTGCTGGCGCTGCAGCTGCAGCTGGACAACATCTGCTCGCAGCTGGACGAGCAGCAGGAGAGCGCGCAGGACCTGCGGCACCGCCGCGGCCACGGGCGGAACCGGACCCAGGAGAGGCTCCAGGAGCTGCAATCCCGGCTGGAATCGCTGCACTTGGAATCCCGAGCCATCCTGGCCAACGTGGGCGCCACGGGCGGGCACGTGCGGGGCATGCTGCGCTTCCTGGGCGCCGTGCGCTCCTCCTGCGCCCGGGAATTGCGCGGGCAGGCCGAGGAGATGCGCGGGATCGGGAGATCCCTCGGGATGCTCCAGGAGGCCACGGAGGAGCTGCGGGAGCGCTCCGGGATGCTCGGGGCGCGGCTGGAGTTGGGCGTGAGGAACCTGTCGGTGACGGTGCAGGAGATGAGGGCGGTGGATGCTCGGCACGGGGAGGTGCTGCGGGACGGCTCCGGGCTCCGAGGTGAGCGGGAGGGAGAGCGGGGCTTTTCCCGGGATGGGGCGGGATTTTGGGAATGCTGATCCCGAGGAACGTGGAGACGGGGCTGAAAAAATCCGTGCTGGGCTCAGGGGTGGGGCCGGGATCATCCCATGGATGTGGGGCCGTCCCAGGGAATGTGACCCTTTCCCGGATGAGGAGTGGGATTTTGGGAATCCTGATCCCAAGGAATGCGCAGGAGGATCCAAACCCCCCACCCTGAGGTCTGGGATGGGACCGGGATCATCCCATGGATGTGAATCCCAGGGAAATCAGGGAGCTCTTTTTGGAATGGGGTGGAATTTAGGGAATCCTGATCCCAAATCAGCTGGAGGAGAATCCAAACCCCCACCTTGAGGTCCAGGATGGGACCGGGATCATCCCATGGGTGTGGGGCTGTCCCAGGGAATGTGCCCCTTCCCTGGATGAGGAGTGAGATACGGATCAGGGATTTTGGGAATCCTGATCCCAAATCAGCTGGAGGAGTTTCCAAACCCCCTCTCTGATGTCCGGGATGGGACCGGGATCATCCCAGGGACACCAGGGAGGTGACTTTTCCCTGGATGAGCGGCGGGATTTTGGGATTTGGGAATGGCCCGAGTTGTCTCCAGTGTCACCCCCCGTCCCCCAGCGCGGTGCCGGTGACTCCCCCGATGGAATTCCCGCCTATTCCCGGGATCGGAGCATTCCCGCAGTCCCTGGATGGAATTCCCGGGATGGAATTCCCGTTTTTCCCGGGCCGATGGGACCGTTCCCCATTCCCTGCATCCCTTCTGTCATTCCAGGCGTTCCGGGGCTGCCGGGACCCCGCGGCCTCGAGGGCGATGTCGGATCCAGGGGCGCGCCGGGAGATCCAGGCCAGAAGGGCGACCTCGGGGATTTGGGATCTCCGGGATCGCCGGGATCTCCCGGATCTCCGGGATCGCCGGGGCCGAGCGGGGAGCGGGGCCCGCCCGGATCCCGCGGCTTTCCCGGCCCCAAGGGCTCCAAGGGCAGCTTGGGAATCCCGGGACCCCGCGGTCCCAAGGGCGACCCCGGAATTCCCGGAATTCCCGGAGCCGCGGGGCAGCCGGGCCCGGCCGGAGCGCGCGGGGATCCGGGAATGGCCGGGAGCGCCGGGAATGAGGGGACAGCGGGGACAGCGGGGACAGCGGGGACAGCGGGGGAGCCCGGACCCAGGGGACCCCCGGGGCTGCCGGGACCGCCCGGGCCGCGGGGACAGGGGACAGGGGACAGAGACAGGGATTGGGGACAGGGACAGGGATTGGGGACAGGGGACAGGGATTGGGGACAGCGATTTGGGACAGTGACGGGGACAGGGGACAGAGACAGGGATTGGGGACAGTGACGGGGACAGCGACAGCGACTGGGGACAGTGACGGGGACAGGGGACAGCGATTAGGAACAGCGACAGCGACTGGGAACAGGGACAGGGAATAGTGACAGGGGACAGGGACAGCGACTGGGGACAGTGACAGGGGACAGTGACAGTGACGGGGACAGCGGACAGGGACTGGGGACAGCAGTGCCACCCCCGGGACAGTGACGGGGAGGACAAGGGACAAGGACAGTGATGGGGGACAGAGATAAGGGACAGCAGTGCCACCCCCAGGACAGCGACAGGGGACATTGACGGGGACAGG